GCTTTTTTCCCAGGCTTCACATGAGTCTGAGCTCTGGTCTGGCTCACCGAGGCATGTTGCACCTCTCTGAACGCCTTCGGTGCCCGTCTGGGGAGGTGTGAACACGCCTGGGCTGCCAGAGTGTGCTAATTCCAGCTCCCTGACGTCTCCATGTGCAGCTCTCCCCAGTTCTGTGTTCTCTGTGGCTGCAGCAGCGACTCTATTCCGGTGCATTCCACCCAAAGCTGTGTCAAGTCTCTCTTTTTTTTCTTTTTTTTCTTTTCTCGAGGTCGGGGTGGGAGGTTGGAAGTGTTGGCATGAAAATACTTTAATGTAGAGAATATCTAAATAAATTAAATATGGAAGGTGTTGAAGAAAATGGAAGGCTCCTGTGGTTCTCTGGTGGTTCAGCAGGGGCTGGGATGTCCCCTGGGAATGGGAATGGAACCACTTCAGTGGGCAGGGAGGGCCCTGAGCCACCCCCTCGTTATTCCCTGAGCTGAGGATTCCCTGCTGAGGAGGAGGATCTGACCTTCAGCCTCAGCCCCCAGTGCTGTGTGGAGTTGGGGGGTGGTGCAGTCACGGGGAAAGGCTTTGCAGGAATGTGCAGGGAATGTGATCCCCCTGTTCCCACATCCCTCTCCAGGGGTAGTTTGTGCTTGAGGAGGCTTGGAAACATTAAACTCCTGGACAATGAGTTCTGGGCGTTAAATTTGCTTTGGGGTTTGGGTGTGGTCAGCACTGGGGGGGTTGTTCAGGTGTTCCTGCAGCCAGGCTGCTTAAATTCCAGTGCCAGCACCTCTGAATTCCCAGAATGGTTTGGGTGGGAAGAAACCTTAAAGATCATCTCCTGCCATGGGCAGGGACACCTTCCACTAGAGCAGGGACTGGCTGGGACAAGTGTTTTTGGCTTTTCTACCTATTTTCCCCTTCAGTGACAGTCTCTGTCTCCAGGGAGAGCCTGTGCTCAGGGATAGGAATAACCAGGAGCTGGGGCTCAGGGACACAGGCTCTGAAAACTGAGCCAGGGGAGAAATTCCACAGTCCAGTGAATTCCTGAGGTCCCTCAGCAGGTGACAGAGCTTGGGGACAAAGGTTGAACAAACATTCCCAAGGGTGTGTGAGCAGGAAGGTGCCTCTCCTGGGATGCCTGCATGGATAACAGGGCTCCTGGAATGTGTGTGTGTGTCACAGAGCAAAGGGAATTCTGCAAGGATAAGAATATCCACGGCAGTTAAACTGCACTGCTCTGCATCTGGTGGGAGCAAAGGGGAAGGAATGAGACATTGCAGCTCTTCAGCTCTGGAGACTCAAAGACAGCAGGAACCTCCTGGCTGGAGAAAACAGCACCACAGAGTCATCCAGGGGGGAAAAGCCCTCTGAGGCCACAGAGTCCCCCCTGTGCCCCATCCCCACCTCGTCCCCCAGCCCAGAGCTCTGAGTGCCACAGCCAGGCCTTCCCTGGGCACCTCCAGGGGTGGGCACTCCAAACCTCCCCGGGCAGTTCCAATGTTTAACCAACCCTTTCCAGGGAGAAATTCCTCCTGATGTCCAACCTGACCCTCCCCTGGCACAGCTTGAGGCCGTTCCCTCTCCTCCTGTCCCTTGTTCCCTGGCAGCTCCCCCCTCCTGTCAGGGGGTTGCAGAGCCAGAAGGTCCCCCCTGAGCCTCCTTTTCTCCAGGCTGAGCCCCCCCAGCTCCCTCAGCTGCTCCTGCTGCTCCAGCCCCTTCCCTGGACATCACCCCGCGCTCTCAGCAGCTTCCCAGGTGAGGACCAGCCCCTGTCCCAGGCAGGGAACAGCCCGAGCCTGGCATGGGAACGACAAAAGCACCTGTCTCCCCCCAGGTCTGGGGGCTCGAGCACAGCGATTTTAGCCCCGAGGTGGGAGCAGGACCCCTCGGGGGGGACCACAGGGCTCTGGGGGCAGGTCAGGGGGTGCCCCCTCTGCGTGGCACCAGCCCTGGCAGCGCCCTGAGAGCTCCAGACACGGCTCTGAGCCGGGTGCCAAAGGAACAGCCCGACCCTTCCCGGCAGGAGCCAGCAGGTACCAGGCTCGGGGAGAGGGGGGGGGACGGGGACGTGCTGCTCTCCCAGCTGCTGCCTCGCTGCATTTACGCGCTGTTTGCTATTTTTATTCCTTTTTTTTATTATTTTATTTATTCCATAATGACTAATGAGGGGCTGCCCGGGGGGGGTCTTATCCCCCCTCTCCAGCGGGTGTCAGGCGGTCCCCGCAGGAGCACACGCCAGCTGTCAGCCCGTGGAGGAGCGGAGGGAGGGGGCGAACCCCGGGGCAGGTCCCCCCCGTGCCCCCGGGGGTCGGTCGGGGTGGCAGATGCGGGGCCGGGGAACAGGCTGGTGGGCAGAGCTGCCGCGGGTCATTTGCACATCAAAAGCAGCTTCGCCCCCGAGCGCGAGGTGCCGGGGTTTAATTGCTCTTTCAAAGCCAACCCCGGGCTTGGCGCTGCGGAGATTTTAGGTCTGACTCTGCCTCCCCCCTCCCCAGACACTGGTGCGGTGGCACCGGGGCGTTTAAAGAAGATGCAAATCAGCTTTTCTCCGTCTTGAGGCTGATTTGCATCCGCTGATTAAGTCCAACAATTCACACTCCTTCTGTGCGAGGGCGGTTGGCGCTCGGGCAGCTGGAGCTGAGCTCACCCAGAGCGCGGGGACCCCGCTGACGGGGGGGAGATGCCCGAGCTGGGCTGGTTCTCCTGTTCGCCCCTAAAACTTTAGCCAACCGTGCCCCTCAGGTGCCTCCTCAGCCCTGGAGCCCCGGCACGGTCCGATGCCATCCACCTGGGTGTCCCGAGGGCACGGCTTTGCCCCGGGATTATCGGGGCTTGCTGCTCCTTCCTTGGCCGTGTCTCCTCCTGGCAGCGAAGCAGCGCGGTCGCAGCGGGGACCAGCACGTCTGTGCTCCACTTCCCAGCCTTCCTTGTGCCCTCCCAGCCTTCCTTGTGCTCTCCCAGCCTTCCTTGTGCTCTCCCAGCATCCTGACACGGACCAACAGCCCCGAAGGACCCGCTGGTGCCTGGGGCTGAGGATGCTCCCAGCCCGACCTTGGGGAGGGCACAGCTCGTCCTCAGCAGCAGCTTCAGGAGGGGTTTGGTTGGAAAGGGGAGAAGCAGCCCAGGGTCCCCAGGCTGGCTTCCCTGAGCATTCCTAAGAATTCCTTGGGGGTTTGTGCCCTCAGGGACGCTGCCCTTGCTCCTGGAGCTGCCCTTGCTCCTTCTGACGCTGCTCAGCTCTGCCGAGTCTCTGCTCTGCTGCAGCACCTGCAGTTTGTGAGCTCTGCGGGGCAGGGATGTCTCCTGGGAGTTATTCCAGGGATAACTGGCGGCTCGGGGGTCTCCTCCTCCCTGCTGCCTTGACCTGGATTACATGGACCAGTCCTGGAAGGGCTCAGCCGGGCCGGGAGCACCCCCAGCCAGGGCAGGGGATGGCCGGGGATGATCTTCCACACAAGGTGCCTCTCAGCAGGCAGAGCCTTTCCACGTGGTTTTCTGTCTCCTTCCTCCTCAGCAGCTTTTCAAAGGCTCTAAAAATAACCTTCTCTCCCGCCCGGGGCGGTGGGAGCACAGCCAAGGTTTCCCTGGAAAGCTCAGTGGGTGCCAGGTGCCCTTTTGGGGGGCACAGAGCAGCTCGTGGGTGGCTCAATTTTAGTGTTTTCCCCGTTTTTTGCTCCTCAGCCTCCCCCTTTACCCCCCCCCCAACACTGTTTAGATCCGTGTGGTGCAAAGAGGCTCCGGGTTGGTTTGGAGGAAAGAAAACAGGTCCCAGAGTCAAAATATGACCTTGGGGTTTGTTCAGGCCGTTACACTTCACCTCTTCCTTTGGGAATTGTTTTCTCTGGATCTCCTCAGGACGTGGGGGGTGGGTTGGGCACCCCTGGGACTGGGGGAGGAGGGGGGGTCAGGGTGAAAATCAGCCCGACCTGCAGAGCAGGAGGGCGAAGCTGGAGGGTGCAGGGTGGGGGCAAGGCCGGGGGGGGGGGGATTATCCCCCCTCTCCAATCCCTCCGTGTCTGCCAGAGACACGCTTTGCTTTTCCATGCTTGGGTTATCCCAGCTGCAGAGCAGAGATAACAGGGCCTGGGGACAACAGGGCCAGGTGGAGGGACGTCCCCAAAGGGGACCTTGGGGGGCTGTGATAGATGGTTTGTGGCTTGGGGGGGGGCACAACAAAGCACCATCCTGCTTTTTTTGGTATGGAAAACCCCTGGAACGCTGCCAAGCACTCAGGGAAAAAGTGGGGGGGGCGGGGAGGAGGCCAAAAAGAAGTTTTACAAAATTTTTATTTATAAATAAAAACATAAAATTACCAGTAGTTTACATCAGTCACCAGAAATAACATCAAAAAAAAAACTGAACAAAAAAACAAAACAAAACAAAAGAAAAAACCTGCAGAAAAATAATTCTCTGTACAGGCTGAGGCCGGGCAGGAGCCCCCCCCCCCGGGTTGGCTCCCACCTGGAATGACACACCTGGAATGCGGACGGGGCACACACAGCGTTGTGCAAAGGCAGCACGTCGAGGCCTCTGGGCCATCACATCATAGAGCAGGGGCTGGGAGAGGGGGTATGGAGCTGGGAGAGGGGACATGGGGCTGGGAGAGGGGAACACAGGGCTGGGAAGGGGGACATGGGGCTGGGAGAGGGGACACGGGGCTGGGAGAGGGGACACGGGGCTGGGAGAGGGAGGAAACAGGGCTGGGAAGGGGGACATGGGGATGGGAGAGGGGGGATATGGGGCTGGGAGAGGGGGGATACAGGGCTGGGAAGGGGGACATGGAGCTGGGATAGGGGGGACACGGGGCTGGGAAGGGGGACAGGGGGCTGGGAGAGGGGACATGGGGCTGGGAAGGGGGACACGGGGCTGGGAGAGGGGGATATGGGGCTGGGAGAGTGGGACATGGGGCTGGGAGAGGGGGACATGGGGCTGGGGGACAGGGACGGTGCCACCAAGGCCAGCGGGAGCAGGAGCAGGGCGTGGGGAAGGCAGGGAAGGGCTCTGCTCCCCTGGGTTTGGCTCTGGGGTGGGAGAGGGGGGTGCAGAGCCCCCGGTACTCGGGGCCATGGCTTGGGGGATGCACTGAATCCCTTCTGGCCTCGAAGCTGGAGCCATCCCAGCTCCAGAGCATCCCCGGGCAGGGCTGGGGGAAGGCTGGACCCGGCGTGGCCCCGATTTCCAGCCACGGGGATCTGAGGGTGGCTTTTCTCCGGCGGGGCCGTGGATGAGGGTCGGGGGTGGACGCCCAGCCGGGATAAACTGGGGCAATGCACTTGGGGGTGCTCGGGGCCAGGTGCAGAAGGCACAGACTGGTTTCTGTGTGTCGCTTTTCCAGGCTGGGATGGTGTGAGGGGCGCTGGGTTCTGCTGCTCCCGCACAGCTTCGAGCCCTGGGCCCGATCTGTGGCTTCAGGGGGTTGTGCAAGACCTGCCCCAAAACCCCCCTGGGCTGGGGCAGTGGGTGAACAGACACCCTGCAGTAAAAAAAAACATCATTGCACTGGCACAGACGAGGCCTGGCTGGAGATCTCCACCCTGGGAATCTGGATCCAGGCTGGTTCCCTCCCTCCTGGCCGTGCTGAGCCACAGGGGACACGGGAGTCACCTCTGGTGACCTTCAGTGGAGCCTCATTATCCACTTGCTGGTGGCAGGAGGAAATTTTTAAGAGCTGGGGTGGAAAATAAAGTGAAAGTGGGGGTGTTTTTTGGGGGGTTTCTTTTAACCAGCTCCTCTTGGTGGGATCCCGTGGGTGTAAGGACACAGCAGGAGATAAGGCAGCCGGGGGGTCCCGGAGGGGACGGTCGCAGCGAGTGTGGGGGGCTGTGGGGTGAACACAACCCCGATTCCTTGGTCAGACTGTGGCTGGGACACTTCTCCTGGCTCTGAAATCCAGCTGCTGCCTGGCAGCTGGGAAAGGGGGACGCCGAGTCCTCGTCCATCAGAGCAGGGAGTGCTGGGCTGGCCACGGCTCACCCAGGGAGGTGCAGTGGGGCTGCAGGGTGGGCTGTGCCCTTGAGTGAACGGGGATTTCGGGGGGTGTTGGCTGTAACCCAGTGATGGGGTGCAGGTGGGGGTCCTTCCTGAGGCACTGCAGCGGCCCGGGGGTGGGAGCAGTGGCTGTGCCAGTGGCAGGAGGTGGCTCCGTGGTCCCACAGCACCCTGGGGTTGGCACTGACGGAGAAGGGTGAGGAGGTGTGAGAGCAGCGTCGGTGCTTCCTGCAGGGAGCTGGGCGTGTGCTGTGGCTGATTCCCTTCAAAGGCGGTGGGGAGGACCGTGGTGTCCCCGATCCCCGGAGTTTTGGTGTCCCCAATCCCCGGAGCTGTGCCCTGATCCCTCCGAGCCTGGAGCAGAGCACCCCTCGGGCGCTGTGCATGGACGGGAGTTAAATCTGCTGAGTTCCTGTTCCCTGACCACCCCATCGCCGGCTCCTCAGTCCTCCCAGGGGCAGAAGGGGCACTGCCGGGGCGGGGGGAGCTGCTGGCACGTCACCACTGGCACGAGTTGCTTGTTCACCTCTGTAACACGACAGGCAATGGGGAGCACCGGGGCGGGCAGGGAGCGGGGCCGGGAGCCCCCCAGGTAAATACATGGCTCAGCTGGACTGTACAAGGCACGGGCAGTGTGTCCCCCCAAGGGAGGGACACCTGCCCCGAGCTGCAGGGAGGGCAGGGCAGGGCAGGCTCAGATCTCGGTGGCGATGATGTCCTCGTAGGGCACGTCGGTGCCGGGGATCTCCAGCTCGATGGGCTCCTTGCCGTCCTCCCCCGCCGCCAGCTGCTGCAGCATCTTCTCCAGGTTCTGGTTCCTCTTGTACATGTGCAGGTAGCTCTGCTGCAGCTGCTTCTGGTAGTGGATCACCTTCTCCTTCTCCTCCTTCCACGTCTGCCGCTCGTGCTGGAAGCCGGAGGTCATCTGCTCGTTGTTGTCCCGCTCGGCCTCCAGCTCCGCCCGCAGCCTCTCCACCTCTCCCTGCAGGGCTTGGGCTTCCTCCAGCCCGGCACAGGGCCTGGAGCCCTCCCGGGCCTCGCTCAGCTGCTCCCTGAGGACGGCGAGCTCCGTGCGCAGGTCCAGGATCTCCTGCTCCAGCAGGTTCACCTTCTCCCGCAGCAGCTCCGACTCGTTCTTCTTGCGCTGCAGCTCGTTCTCGCACACCTCCAGCTCCATGGCCTTGGTGCGCAGGGACACCTCCAGCTCCTGGGTCTTCATCTCCAGCCCTTCCATCTTCGCCCTCACCTCCTTCAGCTGCGCCTTCAGGCCGAGGATCTCAGTGGTCTTGGTGTTGAGCTCCGTCTGGGACTCCTTCAGCTGCTGCTTCAGCAGGGAGATCTCCCCGGATTTCTGGCACACCTGTGGGCAGGGATGGAGAGCCCGAGTTAGCTGGAGCTCAGCATGTGGAAACCCCAAACTGCAGTTATTTATCTTGATTTAGAATGAATTTAATTATGATTATTAGTTATAATTAATATTTAAAACGATTATTAATAAACGCCGGGATTTTCATCAGTTTAACGCTCTTTGTTCAGCAATACCCAACGAGTGAGTAAATTAAGCTTAAGCAGAGAGTGGAAGGTTTTACTGCTCTCTAACAAATGCCCGAGGCGAGTCCAAGTAGTTCCTATTTCCACGTGGGAAGGCAGCTTTACTGCTCCTCTGGGGGCAGGCAGCTGGAAAACCCTGTGCTGGAGGCTGGAAATGCCAGGTTGTTTTAATGACTGAGTGTTTTTATGCACTGGCTGTTCCCGTGGATGATGGGAAGGGCTGAGGGGTTAAGAGGGGCGGCGAGAGCCTCAATTACAGCTCACAGAACTCCTTGGATTTAACATCCACATCCCACAGCCCTGCACCCCCCGTGGTGCTGCTGGGAGGCAGGAATAGAGGTGGAGAAGGGCTCTATTTATTGCTGCTGCTGGAGCTGCCCCATTCCTCAGTCACACTTTGCTCTGGGCACCCCCAGCCCCGGGTTTGGTGCCCCTGGTGCCACTCACCTCCCACTGCGTCTCCTCCAGCGCTGGGGCGAAGCTGGTCTTCTCCTTCTCATAGGACCTCAGCTTGGTCTCCAGCAGGTTTTGCTCCTTCATGAGTTTCTCCAGCTCCTCCCGGAGCTGCTGCTTCTCCTGCTGCAGCTGGAACACCTGGAGGTGCAGGACCTGCTGCGTGCGCTGCGTCTTCTGCGAGGTTTGCTTGAGTTTGCTGTTGCACTTCTGCTTGAGGCCCTCCAGCTCCTCCTTGCAGCGCCGCTGCTTCTCCTCGTAGGCCTGGCAGGAGCTGATCTCCTTCTCCTCGAAGCTCGACTGAAGCTCCTGCAGCTCCCCCTCCCTCTCCAGCAGCTTCTGCTCCAGCTCCTGGATGGTGGACTCGTCCGTGGAGATGGGCGAGCGGACGCAGGCGCTTTTCTCCGCAGCTCCGTGGTGGTGGTGAGGGGCTTTGCCGGGGTTCAGGATCTTGTTGCCCCCGTCGGAGAAGGACATGGCCTTGAGGCTCATCATGTTGCTGTCCTGGATGATGGCACACTGCAGGATGTTGTGGGCAGAGCCCCCGAAGCGGCTCATGGGGCCCATGGGGGTGACGAGGGGGTCGAGCTGGTAACTGCTGCTGGTGCTGTGGGTGGGGAGGCTGGACATGGAGTTCCTGCCCGAGTCAGACAGACCCCCCGAGCACAGCACGGGCTTCAGCTCCTGCTCCTTGGCTTTCTCCGGGGGGTGCAGGGGTGGGGGGAGGTGCCCCCCGCTCTCGGGGGGGGAGGAGGAGTGCAGGATGGCCCCCGAGCGCGGCAGCACCGGCTTGAAGGCGGTGGGACGGGCAGGAGGCTTGTCCACACCCTGGGGGAGAGCAGAGCCCGTCAGCACAGACCCAAACCATCAGCACAAACCCAAACCATCAGCACAGACCCAAACAATGCCATCTGTCCCCCCCCTCACCCCCTCTGCCCCCAGGGATGAGACCCCCCTGGTGGGACAGCTCCGCTCTCCCTCGAGGGCCAAAAGCTCGGGAAGACGCCGATGGGTGAAAGTGCCTCAGGGTGTGTTTGGGAATTAAAGGGTCTGTGTGCCTTGGATCACATGGCACGATTTTGGATCGTGTTGCTGAGCCCAGTCCCTCAAAGCAGAGGGTGGCACAGTGCCCCCAGCACCTCCCTGCTGCCCCTCTCCTCCCGCTTCCCACCGCAAACCACCTTCTCCAATCTCACAGACCACAACCAGGACAGCCCTGCCCTGGGACCTGCACCCCCTCCGAGGATGGATGGGGTGCAATGGGGCACCCCCCGCTCCCAGGGCCGCCGTTTCCCCCCCACTAACCACTTCCAGCTGGCTGGGGAAGGGCAGCAGCTTCTGCGGCGTGGGCGTCCCGAAGTCGATGCCGCTGCCGCCCGCCTGGCCCAGCTCCCCTCCGGCCAGGGAGGTGTAGTCCCGGTGGGAGCCGTGGGACTTCTGGCTGACCTTGATGTAGAAGAAGTCCTCATTCTTGCTGCTCTTGGAGCCGGACTTGTGGCCGGAGTCCTGGGAGAAGCCGAAGCGGAGCAGCCCGTCCGAGTAGCGGTTGAGCTTCTTGAGGTGGGAGGACTTTCGGAGTCGGTAGTGGGAGGCGCGGCAGTGTTTGCTGTGCAGGCTGTGCCCGGAGATCAGGCTGCTCACGCTGCCCATGCTGGTCCCAGGGGGCAGGGCCCGCCTGAGCTCATAGCAAAGCCGGCGCCGGGTCTGGGGACACACGGACAGCGGGGTCAGGAGCAGCCAAGGGAGCGGGGGGTGATGCTACAAGGTGGGGTTTGGGAGAGAGGGGACGCCCAGGGCAGAGCTCAGCAGGGGCAGCTCCGATCTCGGCTCCCTGTGAGCAGGGACAGGACCCTGGAATGGCTGGAGCTGAGCCAGGGCAGGGTCAGGCTGGATCTCAGGGAAAGGTTCTTCCCCCAGAGGGTGGTTGGGCACTGAACAAGCTCCCCAGGGTTTGGTCACAGCCCCCCCAAACCCGCCAGAGCTCAAGGAGAGTTTGGACAACGCTCTCAGCACATGGTGGGATTGTTGGGGTGTTTGTGCAGAACTGGACTCTGATCCTTGTGGGTCCCTTCCAGCTGAGGATATTCCACAATTCTGCCCTAAGCACACCTGGCAGGCACAGCTGGGCACATGCCAGCGCTGACAGGGTTTGTGCCAAGGGCACCTCTGTGCACATCTCCCCCCGTGTGCCCGGAGTGGGTGCCAATGGAGCAGCTGCCCCTCGGGAGTGTGAAGGGAGAGGGATGTTTGCTGAGGCTGATCCCCCCCACTCCCAGCCCTGTGGGAAGGAGGGTGGCACCCAGGGAAGAGCAAGGCTTTTCCCCAAGCCCGGGGATGGCTCCAGGAGCCTCCCACGAGTTGCCTGAGTCCCCCAGGCCACAATTCCTGAATGGCCAGGGGCATCCTGCCCAGTGCCAGGGGCATCCTGCCCAGTGCCCAGGGGGCTTGCCAGGAGCTGCAGGTTACAGTAGGAGGGCTCTCTACAGGAGTCTCTAAAATGACAAGAGGGGGAAAAGGGGTTTGTAGTGATTTTTAGGTGCCTAAGAGGCATAATTTCAATGAGCACCCTTGGGGCTCCTGCTTTTTGCACATGATGGATCCCATCTCCTGCCAACCAGCCGCAGTCACAACCCTCTCCTGCACCAGCCTGTGCCCCCTGATTCTCCAGTTTTCAGTGCCCCTCTTAACCTGCCTGAAAAGGGAAGCTGTGAGGTTTAATTACACTTAATTACACTTCAGAGGACGAGAGGCCTCGTGTGTGTGCTGAGTGCTGTGAGGAGGGGTCAGAGGGATGGGGGGCTCTGTGCTGGCTCTCTCTGCTGGGGGGATAAAAGATATAGAAAATAAACCCCCAGCTCCTGGTGGCCTTTGTGGCTCTTGGCTCCCAGAGCCAGGGCTCTAATGGAGATCCACCCTCCATCCAGGTAATCAGGGGGAGAAAGGGGGAAAGCACGGAATCCAAATGAGTTAAATGCTGTATGCACAGGATGAGCAGAGAGGAGACATTTCTGCTCCTTTGGAACAGCTCAGAGCTCCCGGTGTCGGCACTGTGTGATCCAGCTCTTCTCCAGAGCTACCCCAGGCCCAGCTCCCATCACCCAAACAGGAATCCTGGGGGTTCACAGTGTCCCCTGGCAGTGGCACAGGGTTGGGTGGTGGAGGGGGTGTTGCCAGGGCGTCCTCATCCTCCAGCTCCAGGCAGTCACTCCTGCGTGTTTCCCACTCTTGGATGTGTCCTGCCTTACCCCTGCTGCAGTGCCAGCCCCTCTGCATCCCAAAAACAGGGCAGAACCACCTTGTGCCCATCCCTCAGCTTCAGCTGCTCCCTTTTCTCTGTGCCCCGAGGCCCCAGACTGACTAAGTGTCAAAGGAAAGTCCTGGAGAGACAGAGGATCCTGCTCTAATCCCTAAATCCATTTTGGGGGGATTAGGAGGAGTAAGAACCGAGGGCTGAGCTGCTGCCGGGATGCTGATGTGTCAGAGGTGATAAATGACTCTGGGCTTCCCTCACTCGTGCAGGGGAAGAGGCAGAGAGGGCGGGGAGGGGCAGGAATCGCCTCAGGGGAGGGGATCATTGGCACAGGAGGCAGCAGAGCTGCCAAGTGCGGTGACAGCAACCCCGGGCAGGGCTCAACCCGTGCCAGGGAGCAGCCCTGGTGTGCTGACACACACCCGGGCACGTATTTTACACCCGGGTGTATTTTCAGGCACCTATGGCAGAGGTGGTGGGAGGGAGGTTTGATCCCTTAAAACAGAGGTTGCAGGCTGTGTGGAGCTGCTGCTCCAGGGATTCCAGGCTCTCTGTCCCCCCAGACAGATGTGCCCTTGGGTTTTTGGGTGCCTGCAGGAGAAGGGAGAAATGCAGGGAGGGAGAGCTGGGACTTTCCAGCCTCTTGGCAGGAGGTGTTTCAATCAATCCCAGCCCTCCCACACACGCCTGAGAGGGTTGGGCCCGTCTTTTTCTTCTCCTTCCCCCTTCCCACTTAAAAATGAACACTTTGAAAGCCGTGGAGGAGTTGGAATTCATGGGCAACGTCGGCAGGAAGGGGAAGGCTCTGGAGGCAGCACAGGCTCCCACTCCAGCTTTTGGGGGACCTCCAAAAGGGGGACCAGACTTGTCCCCCTCCTTGTTCAGCCTCACATTGGCATCTTCCCTGCATCACAGCCAGTGACCTTGTGGCTCTTCAGGGAGCCAGATGAGTCTGCTGAGCCACCCCAAACCCAGCCATTACGTGCACACACGTATGTTTGGCTGTGTGGATGCAAAGGTGTATTTTTAAGGGGTTTGCAAGCCTGGCAACGGGCAGGGTCGGGTCGGGTCGGGCTTTGCTGCGAAGTGTAAAACGAGGTTGGGGGTAAAAAATGAAAAGTAAGTGATACTGAGAGCGCAGGGAATGAAAACAGGGGGTGCCCCAGCCCGGGCACTGCGGTGGCAATGTCACCGTGCCAGCCTGGCTCTGTCCCCAAAGCCAAACGCTGCAGCCCCCCCCGGCTCAGCCCCAGCCCCACCGGGCTCTCGGCGCTAAATGTGATTACCCTGAGCCGCGATTTGCCCCGTCAGTCACCAATTAACGCGGACAGAAAGCCAGAAAAGACACGAGCCTTCCCCTCCCGCTCAGCAAACGAGCCCCGAGCCCCTCCGGGCTCTTTTGTCGGCGCCGCGGTGGGGAGGGGACCGACCCGGACCCCCCGAGCAGTGTCTGCGCTCCGCGGCCCTTCAGGGGCTGTGAACAAAACCCCTGAATCCCAGAACCACACAACAGTCAGGCTGGGAGGGGAGCTCTGCAGGTCACCCGCCCCCCAGGTGAAGTGGGGAGGTGTGGGGGGGTCCCGCGGTGCTCCTGGGGGGGACAGACCCCCCCAACAACCACTCAGGCAGTGTGGGCTAAACCCGCGGGATCGGGGCTGAGCACGTGGATGCTCCCACTGCTGCCTGTGCAGGAAGAAGGGAGGAAAAAATGAATGGCATCTCATCATCCCAGTCATGCCTTCCCTGCACGTGGGAGAGCAGCTCCTTCCCCGTCGCCTCCTTCCTCAATGGGCTGCAGGAATTTAATCTTATCTCCTTCCCAGCACGCTTTCTTCGAGGCTTTTCCCTGTCCCCTGCAGAGTTTTTCGCAGGCAGCAGCTTTCCCTCCACCTTCCCCTCGCAAAAGAGCCTTCGTTTCCTCCCGAGCTTCGCGGTGTCACTTCGCTCCCTGCTGATCCTGTTCTTCCCCCCCCCTCGGAACACGCCAAAGCTTCCTTCTTCCCTGCAATCTCTCGCCCACTCCTTTTCCCCTCTCGAATTATTATTCATCCTTTCTGTGCAGATGCTCCCACACATTTGGGTGTTTGTTGGGAGATGCACAGATAACACAGGGAGCAGCTGCCAGGAGCCCGGCTCCGGGATCAGCCTCTTTCCTCTTTCCCTCGATCGCTGCCAGGTGATGTGCCCCCGTTTCACGCCGCGATTCGGGGCTTTGAGGCACCAGGAATGCGGCCCTGGGGGGGAAATGTGGGCATTTCTGTGGTGAAAAACCCTGCACGTGCCTCGCGGAGCATCCGACCGGTGCTTTGAGTCCAGCCCGGGCTGTGCGAGCATCTGCCCGTCCCCGCTCCAGCTCCTGCCCGCCCTCCCCGTGCCCAGCTGGAGCCGGGCTCTCCAAAACCTGCTCATTTCGGTCTGCAAAGAAATGGCAGCAATAAGGGCTTGGAGAGCGCCGACCTCGCCCCCTCCCCGTAATCGTCCCCCCCCTCCCCGCGCTAATGGGGGGCAATTCAGAGCCTGCCCGGGCAGGCGCCAGCCCGTGGTGCTCAATTGTGGCTCGGGGCCCCACGACAAGGCTCCCATTCACTGCGGCCCATTGTCCCCTGTCCTTCATTGACATTCATCGGGCTCGGTTTGATGGCAGGCGGGCGGTGAATGGAGCACAAAGCCCGCACCATGTGTTCCGCCCCGATCCGCCAGCGGGCGGAGGGGGGACACTCGACGGGAAGAATAAACCGGCCTCAATTACGCGTTACATCCACTCTAATAGCCCGGGAGTCCATCACACTTAATGTTGTTTCAATGAACACCGAGAGAATTCACACCCCCCGCCTGGAGCGCTTGTTAGAGGAGCCGCTCGCTGCCTTTGGCAGGGGGTCGGGTGGGCTTCGTGCCAGCGCGGACCGTGCCGAGGCCCTGCCAGTGCGCCCTGGCAGCTGGTCATCATGCTGCAGGCCCTGCAGGCGAAGGCGCAACCGCTCAATGGGAAAAAAAAGCGAAAAAAAGGCAATTTGCCTCCGTTTGGAAGCCCGTCGGCAGCACCGAGCGCTGCCTCCTTGCACCCGGTTCCTGCAGGAGGGTGGCTCAGGTCAAAGGCATCTGGGTCATCCTTTCTCCTGCTGGAAAAGCCAGGAATCAGCGCTGAACCCAGAGTCAGCTTTGGGAAGGGCTTGGAGGAGCTGCGGGCACTTCCCTTCCATCCAGAGGCCCCGCTCCTGCCCAGGGATGTGCCAACAAGTGGCTTTGCTGGGAGAGCAGGGTGAAATCATCCCTGAGAGGATGTAGGTGGGACTGAGGCGACTGGCCCGAGCTGTGTTTGGGGAAGCCAGTCCTGGAACGAGAGGAATTTCTCAAATTAACAGTGAATCACGTTGGCAGGGCGAGCTCTGAGGGTCTGTTCCTGCTTCCTTACTGCTCCCACCACTCCCCACATGGCCGAGCAGGGAGAGGCTCC